AAGAGATTGCGAAGACCAGACTCCTCTAGAGCTCTAAAAATCTCCACAGACCGTTCTCATCCTGGACATTCATATTTTGAACTGTTACCATCAGGGAGGCGTTATAGGTGTCTTAAAATGAGGACTAATAGACTGAGAAACAGTTTCTTTTCCAAGGCAATAATTGTCTTGAATCAAACAATCAAACTATCTAACTTACTATATGTTCTAGATAGGTTTTAGACTAGGTTTTTAATTATTTTAATTATTTTAATTTCTAAATACTCTGTAGTGTGATTGTGATGTGGTGTTTGGGACACTGTGCTGGAGTAGCTTTCAAATTTCATTGTATTTGTAGAATGCAATGGCAATAAAAATATTCTATTCTATTCTATTCTATTCTGGTTGGATGATCATTTGAAGCTAGTAGGAGGAAGCTTAGTTTTTCATAGGAAAATTGTTCTGCAGGGAAAAGCTGGTAGTTGTAAAGTCTTTAAAAAACAGAAACTTTGGGAAGAAAGGAAATTTGATGAAAATGTCATGGCTTGCAAACTTGTTAGGCTTAGGCTGTGTTTGTTTTTGAAGACTGGGTATTGGCTTTAGTAAAGAACAGTATTGGTGAAGATCCTGAGTTGGGCTGGGCAGTGTTTTACTGTTGAAGAGTTGTAAAAGTTGAGGAGAAGCCAAGACAAAACTCATGAGGTAGACAACAGCATGATACAGAAAAGTGCACTAAAGAAAACTGGGGCCCAGCATGGAACATAAATTATCCAGCAAGGGGGTTCTGGGGGAAGCCAGAAAAAAAGAAAATTACACTTTACCAGCCAAAAGGCTGCCAGCCTAAATACTGCCAGTATCTTTTGTCTCAGAAATAGGACATTATTTAGAGATTAAATTAACAATACTGAATGCATGTATATGTCATTAAAGAACTTAAAGATGCATAAGGAGCTTAAGGTGTATAATGTTCAGCAAAGAAAAAAAACCAGTCCTTTTTCAGTACATTTTAAATCTCAATCCACAGCTTCATTTCGTTCCTGCTGGTTATCGGTAAAAATGGGCAGGAAAGAGTGGGAGAGTTCAAACCTGGCTTTTCTAGCTTAATTAACCTTGCTAGGGAATACAAATCAAAATAGATGCTATTTGTCTTAATAAAAAAAAAGATCAAATCTCAAGAGATGTTTTGCATTATGTCTTTCATCAAATCCAGAAAACTCATGAAAAGCCCATGAGGTCTCTTCTGATAAATTGCTGCTAATACTTTTGATACCACCGGTACCATTGTGCTAGAGACAATTACCATATTTTTTGGACTATAAAGCCCTCTGAATTATAAGACGCACCTAGCTTTTCGGGAGGAAAACAAGAAAAAAAGCTGCCTCTGCCTCCCAGCAATTTGCCTCCTTGCAGCAAACAACCCGGTCAGTTTCAGTACAGCCTGATTTAGCATGAACAGCTGATTAGTGTTGGATCGGCCTCCCGGAATATCGATAGTCAGCTGTTCCAGGCTGCGGGGATCAATGCCACCCATCAGCCCCAGTGCCGCTGATCACCGCTGCCACCTATTGCTGCCTCCACATTCCCATTTTTGGCCTCCACACATTCCATTTTTGGCTTCCACGTGCCCCATTTTCGGCCTCTGTGTGTCCCATTTTGGCTTCTGTGTGCCCCATTTTTGGCCTCTTGTGTGTCCCTTTTTCAGCCCATTCCAGGTGGCGGGGATAGGCAGCAGCAATCCCCACCATCTGGAATGGGCTGAAAACGGGACCCGCAGAGGCTGAAATTGGGGCATGTGGAAGCCAAAAACGGGATGCGTGGAGTCCAGAAATGGGGCACGCGGAGGCAGTGATAGGTGGCAGCAGTGATGAGCGGTGCTGGTGGTGATGGGTGGCGGCGACCCCCGCAGCCTGGAACAGCTGATTGTCGGTATTCTGGGAGGCCAATCCAACCGCCAATCAGCTGCTTGTGCTAAATCAGGCTGTGCTGAAGCTGACCAGGCTGTTTGCTGCAAGGAGGCCAATTGCTGGGAGGCAGAGGCCAGCAGGTGGGGGATGGTGGGTGGGCGGGGCTTTGGCAACATTCTTTGTATAAGACGCACAGACATTTCCACCCACTTTTGGGGGGAGGGGAAAGTACGTCTTATAGTCCGAAAAATATGGTAACCATAAAACTTCTTCCAGCTTAATGTGGTGTTGGGGATTTAGAAAGTATGTTAGAAAAGGATTTAAATGAAATAATTTATGGAAACAGTGTAAATCATCATCTATTTTCAGATTTGCTTCTATATTAGGCTCTCATTGTTGAAGGAGATGGAGGATATGGATATTATATTATCTAGACAACACACACACACACACACACAAACACACACAGATTTTTTTTAATGTATATTTTCAAGCATCCACTATTTCCAGGCATATTGTTGTCCAACTTGGAGCACACCAGATATCATGTAGTGAACAATTAGTGCTTCTTTCCATGTAAGTTACTCAACATCTTTGTAAGGAGATGATTGTAGAGATTTTTCTGATCTCTGATACATGAGAAGCCCAGAAAAAGAGTTTGGAAGTAATACAGTAGCGTTTCCCAATGGCAGCCATTAAAACTTTGTGGATTATCCATTCAGTTTTGTCAGATGCATTAAGAGAAACTCCTACATCTTATGAGTCAGTGCACGCTTTTTGAAAACTGTTATGTATGTTTTTTGTGTGTTTCTTTCAGCTCCTGTTTGTGATTATTTTTTGAAGAAGGATTCTTCCTAAATAATGAACAAACAATCAGTTCAGTGCTTCAGCATGCAAGGAGGAGATGAAGCAGGAATGACTGTTCATCATTCCACGTTCCTGGCTACACCCAGATTGATAACAAGATTTGTCTCAGACACCAGAATTCTCCCTTAGGAGAGAAAAACAGCCGAATGTTTGTGGAAATAGCGTTCAAGCTCTGACATGAGGCTTCTACTCCACGGAGCTTTTGCTGCCAAGTCTCAGGGTTTCCTTTGTGTTCTATATCACATCTTCTACCAGATAGCCTTTAAATTTTGGTTATGGCTCCTAAGATAGAAGTTCTGAATTGTGTCTATATTACGTATATCGGGCCCAGATTTCTCTTTCCAGTTAGACATTTTGGCTTCCCCTGAGCATGATGAAGTTTCTCTACTAGATGGTGGACACAGTTCACACAACATGACTACAGTTAACGCATGTGATTAAAATGATGACTGATTATAGACACTTGTGTTGGATGCTCTCAATGTTGGCAAGAAGCCATAAAAATTCTCAGTCTGTGAATAAAGTCAATCATTTTGTTTGTTTAACTTATAATTTATTCTCCATAATTAGTTGACAATTTATTCTAGTTTTTTTTTCTTGTATTATGTTTTTCCTCACGTTTATTTACATTTCATAAGTTGATATTCTTAAAACTTGTGTTTCCAAGACTCGGCCCTTTCATAGAAATTGTCACTTCAGATGACGAATGTGAACAAATGTGCTTCATTCATTTATCAATCACTTCATTTAATACTCCAAATGCTTTTCATTTATTTATCAGTAATTCAACTTTTGAAAGATTTGTAAAGGAGAGAAATTTATCACTGCAATTTGATCTTTTTCTGTATTCAAATTTTTTGCTTATAAGAAGTATGTTCTATGTATGTCATAAGTTTTAAGTTGGTATCTCAGGACTCGTGTATGGCAGGTGGCCAGAGTTAATATAGTGGAGGAGTAACAAAGCCTACAGTGAATAAGGCAGTGATGGAAAACAGGTAGAGGTACCTCATGCATGCTTGCAGGACTGTTTTCAGGGTTTTTTTCTTTTTTATGGGGGAAAGTTGTTTTGGTTTTTAACTCTGTGCCTATTTCTCCACTTGGTGTGTAGCTTTATTTGTTTTTGTTTTCATCAAGATAACTTTCTAGCTTCATTTCTAAGGTTTACTTGTGGATCTTTGCATATCTCAGCTACTCTATCTTATCAAGGAGTTGTCCTGTTTATTTTGAAGTTCACATAGAAAGTTATGGTTTTTGATCCACATATATGGATTTTTTTCATGTTTAGTGGACAAGATAAGTAATTCAACTTTAATGCTGGTTAAATAGCAAATGTCTTCTTAAGATTTTGAGTCCTACTGAATACCATTCCCCCCCACCCCTTGCTAAAACTGAAAATCAAGACCAGCTTGTTAGATGCCACCCAGGAAAAATCCTTAAATTCCCCAGATATGCCCTAAAGTAGCTGTGACTCTGTGATCCTTGTCATCTGATCCAGAATTGAAATTTCATGATTTTAAGGCAATTCTATGAATATGTACTACATTTCATGCCAAACTTCATCTCGGTGTTTCAGATTGTTTTTAGTTTTGTCCTACTCCTGTCCATACACAGGAATAATGGAAGTTGAACATCAGAACAGTTTCAAATATTTACCTGCTCAGAATTGTCAGCATAAAACTAAGTCTTTGTCTCATCTATAAAATGCATTCTAGAATGTAAGGTAGAATCTCTTCACATCTCAGTAATTATATCATTCTATTGCATTATCTTAGAAGGCATTAAATAAGATGCCACAGGAGGAAAATAAAGTGCATCTTTTGTAGGGTGTGGCAATCTTTGCAGACTTCCAGCAATTTTCTTTAGCTTGTCCTCTTTACTGTGATCAAAATTGTTAATATATGTTTTAGAGGTATTTTGTACTGGAGATGTTGTGTGTTGCAGAAAGGGAAAGGTATGATAGGGAAAGGTATGAATGAGATGTTTTGTTCTTTATTGTAAAGGCAGTTCTATAATTAAGTCTAAAACTTTTGTTGAAGACTGCAGGGTTGTTATTCAAATGTGCTGTTACATAAGAGGCTAACAGTTAAGCAAGGAAATGAAATTAATCCTAGGTAGAAATGGCATTTGGAAATCAAAATCTAGCTCAGTTTTCAAAAGAATAATATCTCTTGCTGAAATTGCATCCACCTGTATTTATTTGTAAGGAGCATCAAAAGCAATTGTAGAGCAGAAAACGCAGATTCCAGGTGATTAAATTTATATGTTGTGATTTATTTATAAATATTTCACTTCAAAATTATATAGATTATTGCAGAAATCAAGAGATGTCTCTTGTCCACAAGTTAAAACACAGTAAAGTATGTCCTTGGGACAGTTACTTGCCTCACTTTTAACTTGTTATTTATCAAGGAGATCTTAAGAGAAAAAATAGAAGGCTAAAAGCTAAAGCAATGAGTGGGAAGTATCCTCTTATCTGAATTTGAGTTTTCCTGCCACAGGCTCTTAGCCAAAGAGTTGATATGATAGATTGATACCACCGCAGCTGCTGTATCTGGAATTTTTCATGTTTCATAAAAATGTTTATTAGCAATTAGAACAGCATGATAGAAAATGAACAATAATAAGGTTGTGCTAGAGAGAGGCCTAGCTAGGGTTTAATAGAAACAAAGAAGAGCACTATGCAATTCAATATCACATTTGAACTGGCAAACTCCAATAGCCCACTTGTCTTGATTGCAGCAAAAAAAAAAAAAAAAAGTGCTGAAAGAGTGGTTTTCTGTTTCCCTGCATAAGGGCCTCAATGTAGTTTGGAAGCCAAATGTGTTCTTCCTCACCTTAAGGAATATCTGTTATGCTTTCATTGATTGATTATGTGTTATCTAATTGGTGTGACTCTTAGCATTCCACAAAGATTTTCTCTGTAACACAGTTGTCTCTAACCTGGTCCTTCAGATCTTCCAACACCATTCTTTCAGTAGCAGTCTAAACGAAACACCTTTCAAAGTAAAGATGCAGAGTTCCAATGTAATTAGAACCCAAAAATGGGGGGAGGGAGAGGAAGCAGGGGACGAAACATCTTTGTCATTGTCCTGATCTGCATGAGATGACTACTTCCATGCTACAGGAGAGTTAGAACGTGCCCACGGTGATGGGCAAAGAGAATAAGTGCCTTACCACCCTATACCTGTTTCCTCATTCAGCTTGTCTACTATCCTTGTAGTTAATTATTTAAAAATTATCCCCCCAATGTCTAAATATGTGAAACTGACATGTATGCAATAGGGAGAATGTGTCAGCAGTCAGGTTGACAAAAGTAGTGCTTTTTGGATATGCCTGAATCCATTGTTGAAGCAACTGAAACAACTGTTGCTTTAAAAGTGTGGGCTCTTTTCAGTTGTTAGGGCCTTAGGAGACCAGAGAGCTACCCTTTTCACTGTGATACTTCTGTTAACATCTATTCATAACAATTGAATTCACGCCTTCATCCCGCTACATACATGTCTCTCAAGGTTATCTACATGGCTTTTCTGGAAAAACTAATAATAAAGTTGGCACATCCGCAAGTTTGAGAACATAAATGGCAAATAACAATGGAATGATTTTTCCATTTTTTAAAAAGTGGGGCTAGTTCCAAATAATATAAGTACTTTAAATTCGGTCATGGATTTAACACATCTTTAAAAAGAAATTAGGAAAATTAAAACATTACCACCACCAAATGAAGAGTGAAACAACAACTGAACCAAATTGGTCCCATTGGCTTGTGCAAATCTCCTTTCAGCATTGTCATTTCCTTCAGGACTCTCAGTCACTGAAAATGTGATTTCTTGCTGCAGTAAGTGCTCTAGTCTAACCTTTGTGGGTTCTTCCACAGCTGTAGAAGTATCTCTTCCTTTCCATACGGAAACAACTTTCTTGAACATAAAATTCTAATATCCAAAAGAAAAATATTTATTTTTTTTACAATATTGAGATTAACACTTTGTATAAAATTTTGGCAGGTGTGGCCTAGGCTAAGTCCTTGTACAAGATGGGCAGATTTTTTAAAGATCTCAACCACCACAACAGCCTCAAGATTCTTGGAAGATTACCAAGGAACAGGGTTGGGATATAGGGACAAAGCCAACCTCTGTGACAGAAGCCCTCCAGCAAGTGTTCCAGGAGGAGAAAGAAAACAGAGAAGAGTTTCTGAGAAAGTTTCATATTTGGACCACGAATTTCCTGTACTCACTGTCTGCAGAATAATGACTTCCATTATGGTATGGGTGATAATAAAATATGTCCAGTTAAAAGGAAACCAGCCATCCTCCTCTTGTGAACAAAGTTGAGCTCGATGAAACAATTATTGATGGGCAAAAAAGTCTAGTTTTCCTATATGCTCCGGCTCTGCTCATGATTTCCTTCTTGGGAAAATCGCTTATTTGGTGGCCTTTATCTGTTAAAAATCTAGCTTGTATTGTGTCCATTTCCTCAAATATCCATACATGGAGAAAAAACAATCTTCATAAGGAACAAGGTGATAAAGTCAGGAAGGGAGAAATGGATTCAGGATTGAGTTTTACTCTGAGATCAAAGATAGTGGTTGCAGTTTCTGAGCTGGGAATTGCATTGGGTCCTTTTCAGCTGCATTTGCAAGATTTCACAACCATGTTAGACAGCTGTTCCACTTTTGGGGTCCTTCCAACGTAATACAAGATAGTCAGGGGATCCAGATCCTGGGGAACACAACAGGGGGAAGCAGATGCTTCGGGATTCAGAGTATTGTATAAACCAAGGACCTGGAAAAACAACCAAGAAATATATGAGGATCTTAGCTAGCACTTGCCAGTTGCTAGAATTAATGTTAGGCAGGAAGCATATTTCAAAAATTCAGTATTTACAGCTTCTACCTCAGCTCAACCACTGGACAATTTACTGATCAAATGATTTTTCATCTAGAGCAACTAAGTAAGTCGTGTAGCACCCAAACCTTTGTCTTAGCAAATGTAGTTCTTTAGCATATTCTTCTCTTTAAAAATAAATAAGTAAACTGGGTGTAACCGTCTTACAGTCTTGCTAAGAGTTTCAAGAAAAACAGCTGAAAAAAATCAACTTACTTTGGCCAGTTTTTGAAATCATACTGGATTTAATCCAGTCCTTCTCAAGTATCAACATTCACCTCCCAACTGTTTCAGTTCTCTACAAATCCAAGATACTTGCTTTGCTCCATTCTACATATTGCTATAGAGAAGATCAGAAGACAACTGAGGAAAACTAGTATTTGTCTATTTTTTAAGCTCAAGATGTGTAATATGTCCAGATACGGCAAGTCTACTCCTATTGGCCTTCTTCATGGCCCATTTTAAATTATACTATCAATTCCTCCTCTCAAACAAAATATTTTATCCAGAAAATAATTAATGAAGATACAGTTTGTAAGTTCCAAATTTTCTAGATTGAGACCAACTGCTTACTACTAGAACTGCCATGTAGAGGAAGCATGGCTCCTTACTAGACCCCATTTAACAAGAGACACTGAGTTGACATTGAGTTTTCACAACATAACTAAACCATAATATGTTTGATTCTTAGTGTGTTTTTATGAATCCAGCCACAGGATTGTATGTTTTATGATTTATCATTTTCTGTGAACATTGTCAATTGTAGCATATGAAGTTAAAAACTGATTTAGTATAATTTCTAAACTGAGTCATGAATGCAGATTTTAAAATATGCACAACCAAATGGTAAACAGATAGCACTGTTTAAAATCCTGCACTGCTAAGAAATATTCAATCAGTTCCTCTACATTCACAATAATTGCAGAATAGGCAACACTCTGAACAATTGCTACAGTGCTTCATTGGGTGTTTCCCATCCATGTTGATAGTTGTCTTCCGTCATGGAAATTGTCTACAGCTAAAGTTAATCGCTATTACTGTACTTTGCCATGTAAATACTTACAACAGGCATTACCAACCTCAATGGTTTAATTATTGACCTCCATAACTATTGCCAGAGGGGGGGATCTTTTTCAGTGAACCCTTATTACATTTATTTTATAGAACAGAATATTTTTATTGGCCTAAGGCCCAGAAAATGGCTAGAAAGCAAACAAGGTGTAGAACTCAGGGCTAGATTTGATTTTTGCTCATCAGAAATTCTGGAGCAGAATGCTTCTTAATAGTAAGTCACTTCACACCGCACTAAAATCTGACTTAAAGAGGGGGGGGAAGAGAAATACTGTGCCTAAGGAGATATAGTCAATCCCCAGGAGCAAAATAATGAATGTAATTGTATACCAGTCATCACCAGATATGGTTTAAACAAAATGTGCCCGGTGATATAGCTGCAAACTATCTCTCCGTGATTTCCTTTTCCGCTGGAGCATGAGTATTTTCAGTTGGAAAAAAGTAAAGAGGGAATGATGAGTGAGCTTATTTAGGAATTCCTTCTCTAGGTTCTTCCAATGCAATTGTCATCACATTAGGCCCCCACACACACCAGAGCTGTCAAACAACTAACCATGGACTGGGGAGAGGGAGGGGGGTCATCAGGTGTACCTGCAACTAAATTTCAGTGGGCAATGAATGCCTCCTGAATAAGGCTGATCTGAGAGGGAATGCTATTTTTACTCCATTCCTTTGTGTAGAACTAATTAAAAACACATAAAACATTTCAGGTTTTGATATGCTGTTTCCTTTGACCCAAACTTCATTCTACATCTTAATTCCATTTTGAATAATGTCTCTCTTTACACAGTCTTGGAAAAGCCATGACAAGGATTTCACACACCTTTTTTTTTTTTTTTAAAGTAAAAACCAGACACCAAGTGGCACTGGAGGGAGGGAGGCCGCAGCATTTGGAGAGAGGAAATGTTATGCTCTCTATGCCATTTTCCAAATCTAAAATATTCCCCTGTCGAAGCAAACTGTTTTATTTCCCGTAAAGAAAAGTCAGACATAGCAGAATGACTGCCTCTTTCAGCAACCAGGGATTTTGAAGTGTGTCTTTACACATACTTGCCCGTGTTTAGCAGCATTCATAGTTAAAAGTGGGAAAACATTCTGTGAGCAAAGGAAACTCTCCAGTGTGTTTATTTGGGGAGTCAAGTGGAGACATGCGCAGAATTTTGAGACCATGTTGTGGATTGTTTTGCAAAATGATTGCCATGGGAAAGAGGCTTGTTTACTCACAAAACAGTCATGGTAGATGTAGTCAGCCCCCAAACACCAATTCACCCAAAGATGAAGACGAAAAAGTATGGCAGAGGGGAAGTGCCTCAGGTTGTCTTTGCTTTTTTTCCTGGGCACTTAAGCAGACTACCAAGGAAGGCGCTTTCTTCCCCATTTTTTATTTTCTGTGAATGATGATAGCAGTCTTCTTCAAACCGGTACTTTTCTGATGTTAGACTTTAATTCTCATCATTCTTCAACCAGCATAGCCATGGCTGATGGACCAGGGATTGTACTCCACACAAGCTGAGGGTGTGAAGGCTGGGGAAAACTGATCTGTAGATCTTATGTAGTATTCAGAACTGCTCTTGTAAATAAAAATTATGCTAGACACCAATGTTTTCCTTTTCACGATGCCACCAGCTTCTTATTTAACTTTTAAACACTCAACTTTTAACTTTTAAAAACTTTTTAAAAGGAGGTGAGGTTTCTATGTGCTCCAAGAACGTTGTCTACAAATTATGTCTTTTTGCCCATATTTAACTCAAGCTCCGCTAAGTTTAATAAGAATCTAGGAAACTGGGTGCAAGACTGCACCCTCAATAAATGACAAAAACTCATAAAACATAACTATCCATGAGATGGAATGCAGAGATAAAGAAGATGCTCTAACTTGCAAGTTCTTTGCTCAGATTAAAACATTGATTACCGTGCTGTGTGTGGTATCCGCACTACGAAGGTAAGGGCATGGCCCAGAGCAAAAGTTAGCAAAGTACCCCTTTGGCTCATGCACCCATTTCCAGCCCAGATCTTGACGAAAATCAATGTAGAGACGACGTACACAGCAGTTCTCCTCCAGATTCCTAGAACAAAAGGGAGCTGATATGAAATACACTCAAATCAATTATTCAAATTCAATAATGTATCAATTCAAGAGCAGCATTTGCCCAGAAAGAACATGTTATGTAATTTGGAGGTCCTAATGGATTTTCAGCTCCTGCTTAAAGACCAGGCAGCAGGTGTGGCCAGGAGAGCCTATCTTTGTACAGTAGGTGCCTACATTTCTTTAAAGCAAAAGACTAAAAACATCAAAACAAAAAATGCAAATACTGTACAAAGATAGGCTCTCCTGGCCACATCTGCTGCCTGGTCTTTAAGCAGGAGCTGAAAATCCATTAGGACCTCCAAATTACATACATGTTCTTTCTGGGCATTTATACAACTCTGACTGACTGACTGACTGACTGACTGACTCACACTCACTCACTCACTCACTCACTCACTCACAACAGAGAGCTTGGCAACCACCATCTTGGAACTTACATGTATGCACAAGAAGATAATCCAGGAAAAAACAGTGTCAGTTAAATCTTGAAGTTTTTTTTTTTTTTTTAAATTGAGCAAAATTACAAGAAGAAAATAGTAGCAAATCTACTAGGCCCTCTTCCTCTCCATTTTTTAATGATGAAACTTCAAGCAGATGAAGAAGAGGATGAAAATCAGCCTGAAATGAGAAGGCTGTTTCTTTTAATGGGTGGCGGGGAGACCCAGGAAGCAGCTATAAATATTTCAAAGCAGCCATAGCGATGATTAGTTTGGCTTTGTGGAGAAAACAAATCTTGGGGCTGCCCTATATAAGTAACAGAAGATTCAGGGACATATTACTCTTCTTAGCTGAACGGCAGGTTTTCCAAGCTAGAATTGTTGTCAATCCACTATGATAGCCTTATAGTTGGTGCTATGATGAGTAAATAAATACACAATCCCAGAATGCTGCTCAGCAGAATAAGGGAATTAAGAACAATGGACAAAAAAAGTTTCTCAGCTCCACTTGCATGTTATCCCTCTTCATGTTACATTCTAAAAGACACAGTTTAGGAAGAAGTAGAGGATAAAAAGAGTTTAGTCTACAGATAATCCTTTAATCCAGTGGTTCCCAAAGTGGGCGGTACCGCCCCCTGGGCGGCGGTGGGATGCCTTAGGGGGGCGCTGAGAGGCAAGGGGGCCGGCAGGGGGCGCTGGAGGTGAGCGAGCGGCAGGGCACAATTCAGGGGTGAGAAAAAATCCCGCTCCCGCTCTGTTCGAGGCGAGACCCCGCAGGATCAACCCATTGACTTGCACACTGGTGCAAGGAGCTCAATGGGGTGATCCTGGGGGCCTCGCCCTGAACGCAGCGTTGGGAAAGGAGAGTAAAGCCAGAGTGTCTTTACTCTCCTTTTCAAACATCCCCCGCCGCCGCCGTGTTCAGGGCGGCGGGGCCTCGCCCCAAAGGGAAAGGAGAGCAAAGCCAGAGTGAGCAAAAAGCCAGAGTGGCTTCGCTCTCCTTTTCAAACATCCCCCGCATGCTGCCCTGTTCAGGGCGGTGAGGCCTCACCCCGAATGCAGCGTTGGGAAAAGAGAGAAAAGCCAGAGTTCAGGGCAGTGGGGCCTCGCCCTGAATGCAGCGTTGGGAAAGGAGAGCAATTTAGTCCAATGACCTGCTCTAGCAGGGTTGGAAGGGAGTATGTGTATATGTGTGTGTGCATGGCTGTCAAAACTCCAAAAACAGGTCAAGTAGTTCTGGGAAGGCCAGTCATAAATTAGAACACTTGCTAAGCAACCGGCCATTAAGTGAGGACCACTTGTATTTGGTTTGCCAGTCACCAAACCATGCCTACCCAGTCACGTGACCAGCAAGCCACACCAACAGTCACGTGACCAGCAAGCCACGCCCACTCAGTCATGTGACCAGCAAGCCACACCCACCCAGTCACGTGACCAGCAAACCACACCCTCAAATTAGGCCACGCCCACAGAAATTTGAATCCTGCCCCTGGGTGGGGGGCATTAAGGATGACTTTGTAGCACCAAGGGGGCGGTGAATTGAAAAAGTTTGGGAACCCCTGCTTTAATCCATGCAGCTCATCTGTTTCCCTGGCTTGATACTTTGGACACCTGCTCTAACAACAATCCTGAGACTTCAATGAAGCCGTCCTGCTTCTACCAAGCTAAATGCAGCTCACCAATTATGTGAAAGAACTCACACAAAAAAGGAAACATTCTGGTGTTGCTTACAGAAACTGCCTCTCCGTTAACCCTTATTACATTCTTGGCAGGACTAGACTTCCTGTCTCAGGAACTTCTCTGGAGTTATTTTTCCCTCCTTTGCTGGTACTTTGCTTGTGTGGAGTGACCATTCAAAGTTACAATGGCACTGAAAAAAGTGACTTATGACCATTTTTCACACTTACGACTGTTGCAGCATCCCCACAGTCATGAGAGGCCAGGCGAGGAGATGCGTGCCTCGATGTGAATGATATTGAGTTGGCCACCCCCAGCCAATAACATGACCACCAAGCCATGCCCACCCAGTCACATGACCAAGCCACACCCACCAACTAAGCCACGCCCACAGAACCGGTTGTTAAAAAAATTGAATCCCACCCCTGGTCCCATTCCTTGACCTTACACCTTGCTTGTAGTTGCTCATGCCCTGGTCACTTCCGGCTTGATTACTACAAAACAATCTTCATAGGGTTGTCCTTGAAAACTGTCTGAATGTTGCAATTGGTTCAGAATGCAGTGGTGTTTGAAGTCTTAGGCACCGCTCACTTTGCCCATATTTGATCCCAATGTTCTTCAAGCTGTTCTAGCTTCCAGTTTCTTTCAAAATGATTGTCACCTCTAAAGCCCTGTCTGGCATGGGGCCAGGTTATTTGCAAGACGCCACTCTCCCCAAGGATATCTACAGGGATGGGATTCAATTTTTTTAACAACCGATTCTGTGGCCGTGGCTTAGTTGGTGGGCATGGCTTGGTGGGCATGGGACTGGGTGGGCATGGCTTGGTGGGCATGTTATTGGCTGGGCGTGGCCAACTCAATATCACTCACATTGAGGCATGCATCTCCTTGCCTGGCCTCTCATGTGGGGATACTGCAATAGTTGTAAGTGTGAAAAATGATCATTAGTCACTTTTTTCAGTGCCATTGTAACTTTGAATGGTCACTCCACATAAGTACCAGCAAAGGAGGGGAAAAAAACTCCAGAGACGTTCCTGAGACAGGAAGTCTAGTCCTGCCAAGAATGTAATAAGAGTTAACGGAGAGGCAGTTTCTGTAAGCAACACCAGAATGTTTCCTTCCTGCCTTCTTTACAGGATTAGGCCAGTAATTTCTTCTAACAACTGATTCTCTGAACTGCTTAGAATGTTAACAACCAGTTCTAGCAAATAGGTGCGAACTGGTAGAATCCCACCCCTGGATATCTACCTGCTGCACCAGGCTGGATAAGGTGGGCATTTTCCAGGTCCGTTCACTCAAATGTTGTCATCTAACAGGACCCAGGAAGCATGCCTTCTCAATAGAGGACTCCAGCCGGTGGAATACCCTCTCCCTGAGATCTGGCAGGCCCCACCCGTTTGAACTTCCAGAACATCTTTAAAACATGACTTTTCCTCCAGGCATTGGGATAAGATGAGGCTGGATCCTAATGGTAGGTGTTTTTTTTCTCCAAATATTATTTTTAATTGTTTTGTTTTTCCATAGCGGTGAACCAAACGAACAAACATGCAAAAGAAAGAGAGAATTTGCCTTTCCTTTTTCTAAAGGGATGACTTGGCTCTTCCTACACAAAGTGGAATATTTCTTCTCTCAGCCAGAGAATATATTTCGGATACTAATTTCATATTAAAGTGAGGATTAATCAAGAGCTGGGATTTAGAGCTGGGAAGGAATTATAGTTGTTAGAGACAGTACTTAACCAGTGGGGTTAATCAGTTGCAACTTAACTTTACCTTTCAAAATTATGCAAAGTCATCCCAATGTAGCTTTCAAGAGCATTTTTTGCCAGAGAGATGGTTAATTTCCAGGGGAAGGTATAGGCGGTTCACAAATCTTATCTTACCGAAAGCAATAATTGGTGTCCAATGCTCGTTTCTTTCTCTGGCTTCTCACAGTTGAACTTCCAAGACGATGTGGAGGCAGCATCATCAGGATCAGGTGCGGGGTTTGCAGATCTTTTTGCTTCTTCAGGCTTCCCAAGTCCCCACGGCCGTGACTCTCTTCACCATCTATCCCTGAGAAGCATGGGGGGAAAGGGAAACATCAAATCTCATAGTTGCTTTAGAACTGCATTAGGAAATCTTGGTATCCATAAATCTATCTTTTGTAAGGATTGTGGCTTTACCAGAATAAATAAACCTGACAGAAAATCCTGAAGGTCATTTGTTTTATAATGTGCAGACTGATGATGGAGATCATTTTAATCTATCTCTTGATATTGCGATCAGTTCCTGAGCAGGACAAAAGAGATAAATTACTTAAGATGGATGACGTCTGATAACTGGAGCTGAACAACAGGAAAAAATGTCTGAGATGCAAAATTCCTGAATACTGTTGCCCACAGTGCAAAACCAAACAGTCAAGCACTTGCTAATACTGAGATTAAAAGATCTCAGGCTGGCTTCCTATGACACCACAAACCAATCCTAATCTCTGTGCCCACACATTGCAGCAGCACAGCAGAGATGAGTTTTTGAAAGGCTGGATGTGCACTGATTTATAAAGTTGCATTTATAACTCAGCAACACGGGTTATGCCTATAACACTTAGCAATTTTATGCCAGTTTAACCATTATAGGTTTCCCAAAGGTTTTGTGAAAACATTGAGAATTCTACTGAGAGATGCCAGTTTTAAGCACACGGCTTAGAGCTCCCTGAAAAGAGGATTGCTGTTAAGGCAATCTGTAAGTGTACAAGTGCCCACACCCATTAGGTATTCCTAATGTAAATAAATAAACGAATATCTGACAATTACTCATAGAAAAGCACATACACTGCTATGTAATGTAATACGATTAGGACATGAATGCAATAACAATACTCAAATTTAGGTGACTTATTCTACTATTCCCTCCAGTTTCATTTCTGTCACCTCTGAATTTGACCTCCAGCACCTCATGCAGATTCTCCAGAATGTCGCCATTGGATTGAAAGGTGTTACATGGGCAATGGACACTGATCTCCAGTCCTAGATTAGATTCTGTAAGAAAATGAAGAATTTAAAAACAATCCTTACTAACCAATATTCCTGAAAGCAAATGATGATTCAGCAATTTCCATTTGTTTTCTTACATTAATTGAATCTGTTAAAAGTGGAGATCCTGAACTGAGGTTCTGTCAGGATTACAAAAGACTGGAAGGAGAAACTGAACTATATATGTGCAAAGCATACCAGATTCTGTCTAGTTGTAGCTCCATATTGAGCTTTCTGTCCTGTTCTGGATTGTTAATCTGAAATCATCTCAGTCTTCCACAAAAATAAGTTATATATAATGTACTATGAGGATATTTGGGAGCAGGATGAACTGACCTATCAACTTTTGACAGGAATCTTAATGAGTTTTGCCATAATAGTTTGAACCTTAACATAGTTCTGAGTTCCTCAAGGAAAATTAGCGAGTCCTCATTATTTTATTTTAGGGCTGTTGGTTAAAAAAGAGAATTTGTTTGAATGATGTGGATAAAAAGTCTAGAGATCAGTGACACCCGGTTTCAAGATTTCCAAACCTTAATTGTTTGGATGGAGCAATACCACAGAAATCAGTAAATCTTTCTTCCAAATAAATAGCAAGAGGCCTGGCTGTTGTATTTTTATACAATACCTTTTCCCAACTACATTTGATAAATGAAACAACTAAGTAATTTTCCTGTTGGAGGTCTAAACCGAAAATCCAGCAAGAAAAGACCTTCTGTACTACAATTATAATTTATATGGGAAAGGAATATTCCAAGTTTACATATAATATTTGGACATTGCTTTGCATTTAACTGTCATGGAATCTGAACATTCTTGGCAGAATTATTGGAGATGGGAAACATGAGAGTAACAAGCATATCCCTCATAGGCAGAGACTGATGTCTGTGGCCAAAAGCATCGTCTGAGGTTCAAGCCTGAATTTTACCACCTGGCCAGTTTTTCAAGCTAGCTGCAGCTGCTGAATCTCACAGCCTGTGTTTTGTTCTATTATTCTCTGCTGAGTGCTAATCTCTGTAGCAACTGCTATGCTGCATTAAGCTATAAGGTTCCAGGGTAGGGCTCCGTCAATTTGTAGCTCTCAACATTACCACCACCACCACAGGTTAGGAGAAAGTATCTCCTGAATTTGGTCATACCAACAATCCAGGCACATGATCATTATTCTGCTAAAATCATTTGCCTATATCTCAATTTTGCTGCTGCCCAGATGCTAATGTTCCTGTGAACCTCAGCAACCAAGAAACTAATTTGTAAATCATGCTATGATGTGCCTCTCATTGCTAATTATATGAGGGGAAAAAATCATATAAAAACAGTACTAGAATCAATTCACACCAGACTTCTTCAATCTGTAATTTCCTCGTGTTTTGGACTTAACTCTTATTGAGCATGATAGAAACTGTGGTCCAATACCTATGGAGCCTATTAAGTGGGGAAAGGCTGGCTTCCTATATGTCTCTGTCTAAACAGACACATGCAACCTGCTAACAAGAGAGGAAACTAACTTACTTTAGGTGCCACTCACCTCTATGAAAAAGCCATTCACGGACAGTCTCTGTGACATCGAAGGACAGCCATTCAGAAGAGCCCCTTGTCAGTACATTTCGGCCACTTAGGTACCGCTGCTTTGCAATATGCTCATCAGGTTTCAGGATCTACAGAAGCAGATGACACAAGGCATTGTTTTTTTCTCCAGTGGGACCGATCTATCAGGGCAATCTGATCTACCCAATTATGGGATGGAGCATACTGCTTCCATTTCAAAACATAAATTTAACACAAGGCATTCTTTAGTAGTTCACAAAGGACAGTTCCTGGGTTTCCTTTGGTAAGACCAACTCTTCTGGGTAAGAATGCTTGAGTTACATTTTTCTCTCTCTGGTTTTCTGTAATATGTAAAAACTCTAATGTGATTCATCGGAGCAAATTCTAGCCATGTCTCCCAAAGGAAGAATTGAGTATGACAGGAAAGCATGCACATAAAAACTGACACGGGATGATAAAATACAAGGGGAAGGGGATGAAGTTACAGACTGAAGCTGCATTGCACAATAATTTGGCCAATGGTTTTGCTAAAAAAAACTACTTGTCAGAACCATATCCTAATTCTCCTGACTGTGAGAGATGCTTATGCCTCCACATGAAGGGCTTAGCTTCTCATATGCTACCATTACTATGAATTTTTGAAACAATACTAGCCTAGATACCAAAACTGTTTTATATCTTCTTGGAAGCAGCTCTGTGTCAGCATTGTTCATGAATTAAAAGGGGGTATAGACAAAAGCCATGGTTCAAAGGATTAATACTTCCCAAAATTATTAGTAGGGCATTTAGCTTTCAAATACACATCTTCCATTCAATAAGGGTGCTGTGAATAAGCAGAATGCTCAGAAATGATATCTGATAACAGCACTCCCATTTAATATTTTCTACTTCTCAATCTGGACTGAATCTGAATATTGGATATAGTGTGAACTTTCACTTCTACTTAGGGGTATGTCAATTTGCTTTTATTTATTTGTTTGTTTCGAAGGCTGCCCATCTCCTAAGAGATGTTTAATCAAAAATCAATCAAAATTGGGCTCCATGATCATCGTGTCCCCAGGCTTGGGAAAACAATCAGACTTTCTGGATGACATTTAAGAGGGAGTCATAAAAGGGAGTCCTATTTGTAAGGGGGGATCTTTGATCAGTAGGCCTTTCTCCCAGGTAAATAGGCATACTTTACAATGAAGACATTGTAAAATGAATAGCTTCTGTATTTTAAGATCGAACATCAGAAACAAGCAATCAAGAAATACACAACAGGCTAGTATTTGATAAAGCAGCCAAGAAGGTTTTTAAAAAGATATTCAAGTGCCATTACATCTCTGTACCTGCAAAGAGCATAATCAGGCAACCCATGTATTGTCTAGTAACACTCTGTGGAAGAGAAAGTTGGACTTTGAAAAAACAGGATAAGAAGAATATTGATGCTATTGGACTGTAGCGGTAGAAAGCACTGAGAATGCCATGGATAACCAAGAAAGCAAGGAAAGAGATAATCAAACAAATGAACTCAAAGTTCTCACTCAAGGATACATGACTAGTCTTAAATTATCCTACTTTGGGCACATTATATAAACATCTAGCTTTCTGGAAAAGGCTGTAATTCTGGGAAAGGTGGAAGCAAAGAGAAGATGATGACCAGCAATAAAATGGTGGACTCAGTTATAGTGGCAATGAGTGCCTCCTTGGAAGACCCAAAGGAGCAGGATAGGGACAGATCATTCGCTAAGAGTCAACAACAACTTGATGGCGTGTAATCGATTCAAATAGGCATGAGGATTGCATTATGCTATACTGAATCAAATGGATTTCCTTGATTTAAATGAAGAGCTTTCTCAGTGCCCTTATGCAGAGTATTTGTTTTTTGTTGCTGGATTATAATCACTAAAAGACCTATGCCAGGGGAGTTATCCAACTAGAAAACAATCAGTGATCAAGAGATAGACAAGGTCATGGCTCGAATGTTCTCCGCTGCACTCTTGTTGCTGCATGCCCTGTCTGTCCCCTGTCCCCAATGTTCCTGAAAAGCAGGTGGCTCTACAGGCTGACAGCGAGTCTGTCTTCAGTTTGCAAGGGAAAGATGGAGTGGTATTTGATAATGCAATGAAAGATGGCTTCTTTACCCAATAACCACCTGCTTCTTTTATTCCACACCTGCTCTATGTGTTTCTCATTCACAGAGTGATCTGCCTCTGGGCCTCTCCCCATAGAAGATTCACTGCTATCCCCTTGGTTTGGTTTAAAGTTACAACACCAAGAGCAAATCCTCCAGATAAACAATTGTTAGGTACTTTTAAAAATGCTGTTTAATAAATATTTTCAATATTTTATCTAATTGTCCCAAAGGTGTTTTTCAAAAGTCAACTGGACTTTTGGGGGCGTTTCCTTGAAAATGTTTTGTTTCTCATCCTAAGAAGCTTCTTCATCCAATCGTTTTTCTACTTTTTAGGTATTTTAACTGTCAAGTGTTTTAATTTTTTTATCAATTTGCTTTATTTATTTTTATCTCCTTTTATTAACATATAAATATCAGTTGCTGTGTTAAGCAAGGACCAAGAACCAAGGGTCTCACTTGAATGCATCTTCCAACTTTCTGCCAGCTTTCCCATTGAGTGCTTATAGGGAGCCAGCAGAAAATGTCAGAAATTGAGACCACATAACTGTAACTCACTGCAATGGACAGAACTCCAAGGACTCATTATAAATCCTTCTTCTCCAGTGCTGTTGCAAGTTTGAACAGCCACTGGATGAGTGGTCATAATCTGAAGGGAAATGTACATACTATGTACACATATATAAACTAACAATACAATGGAGAACTTAATTTTAAATAATTAGTTTAAAACTGAAGCAATCCTATAACTAATACTTCGATGTGAATTGCAGTGATTCTTTTTTTAAATCTTATATAATATTCTGTAACTCTGACATACTAAATGGTAACTAATACTGATAGAATCATTTTATTTTATCTTTTTTACTACTTTAAACTTTTAAAATAGCAATGTTAATAATTTTGATATATATTATATAAACATTACTACATTGAAAACTACATTGAAATTATATAGGATTATACAAGATCAAGATTTATAATATTACAATAAAAAGTAAAGAAAATTATTTTAGGTTACCAGCACTTAGGTTTACGTCAAACCTTTCTTAAGCTTATAATTATGATTTTTAATTGTTGTTTTTTTTCATTCTAGGGTTCCTAATGTTTATCCCCTCTGCTCCCACATTTTCTGTAATCTTATTCTAAAGTATGAATGCAATATATGTGTATTAAGCCCTTGGTGTCTATTAAAGGAGCCACAGTCTTTGCTGTGAATATTAGAATTGGTTAGTTTGCATCGGTTGCTGTTCTTGGTGTGAAGTGGGGGAGGCAAGTTGTGGCAGACAAGCAGAGTGATAGGGTTAGCTTTGTTTAGAATCTGACTTTGGGGAAGGGAAATTTTCAGAACGGAAGAAGGTGCTCTCTTTTCCTGATTTACCAGAAACCCCTCCCCCATGTACCTCCCCATCCAATAATATTCTTGCTTTCCAGATGCACAATGAAAACTGCAAGGGGGCATTGCCTGGAAAGGGGAGAATCCATTCACACCAGCCAGTGATCCATCAACATATCACAGGGTTATCTCTGAGATTCCCCCACATAGTACATTGGCATCCACACTAGATAGTTGCATGTGGTGATAATGGAGGATCCTATCAGCAGATGGGGATAGGGGGTGATGGGATTTGAAACGTTTCCATCTTCTCCTGGCAGAAGCAGCCAGCAGCTGTGCTGGCTTGCTGGACAGTGAGGAATCCCTGTGCAATATATTGGCAGCCCTGGCAGCTGGCTGACACATTGTACAGTGAAGAACAGAAAGGAGGGGACATACCCATACCAGCCCCAAATGGCCAATAGTTGGTGGAATGATCCCTTGGCTTTTCATCATTAACTTAGTACGAGCCAAAGTACTAAGCACAGTGCAAACGGCCTGGTTCCCAGGGGAAGGTGGAAAACCCACATTCAAGTTCAGTTCAGCTGGTTTGGGCTATGGACTAGGGTTGAGAAGGCTGAATTATGTGTACGATCTTTCAACATGGTTAGCCAGGCATTCTCAAGATAAATGTAGGAGGATGTGAAGATGTGCCTTTTAGCAAAGAAGGACAAAAGAAGTCACTCTCTAGATCTGCACTGCTGGGTAATAGATAACTTACTGATTTATTTGGCATAGGGATCCAAGCACATAACATGCCTTGTCTATAAAATGATGAAATCACTTCCTAATGCTAACACAGCCATAGCCTTCCTCATTCTCCCTTCATCACATCCCTGCCTTCCGTAGGGGGGGAAAACTCAAGATACCAGAGAGGAAAGGTTAGTAGTCATGGATCAAGGCATCTGGTGGTGATGGGAGGGATTGAAAAGAAAGCAAAAATGCCCAATAGAAATAGCAGATCGTCCTTTGAAGTACCCTGGAGGCCCTGCTAGGAAGCAGGATTACCTGAAAGAGTTCAATACGCTGCTCAGAACGTCTGGAGCTGAGGTTTGGCAAGCGAAGGACCCGAAACTCTGCCCGGAAGAGGCTGGTGATGTTTGTCTCTGCTGAAGACACATTGAAGCGGAACATGTTGGAAGTTACTTCTTTGGGGCATAGCGGCAGCTCATCTGAAAGAAAATGACAAATGAGCTGGAATGGCATTGAGGAGGGAGATCATAATCCAACCAGAATGGAAAGCATTTCATTTATTCATTTATTAACTTTATATACAGCCCATCTCACAGTTTGACATGACTCTTTATATCTAGAAAAACCAAGACAGAGTTAGCCTATTACTTTACTCCTTGGAAGTACTTTCTACTCAGATGCTGTTCCTTAAACGTATTAAAACATTTAAGAGCAAAAAGAAACCAATATGTTGGTTACCTTCAAATAGGGGGCGTGCATAAGCGCACCATCGTGCCTACCGTCCCTGTCCTATTGTTTCTCTTATTCTTTTATTTTTCTTATATGTACCCATTTCATGTATTCACAACTATGTATACACTTATACTTATTATCTTGTAAACAATTGGCAAATCAAATAAATAAATAAATAAATAAATAGCCATATTTTAATAATTCATCCGTTAAGCTTATTAATAATTTGGTCCCATATATTCAGGATAAGGAACAATCTTAAACTGAATAAAGAACAAGTATTTAAAGTCCCTGTAAAGGATAACCAGCTTAAACTGGCCCATCAAAAGCCAAAAAATTCTTTTAAAAACACATTGTTTTCAAACAGGTTCTCACCTAAACCATCTAGGAAATTAGTAATTTGGTTTTTACAATTAAAATAGCTTCGTTCAATCGCTTAAAGATTTATATGTCAATTTTCTTATTTTTTCATAAATAAATAATTAAACAAGCAAATAAATTTAGAATCAAAAGCCCCTTATTCAGTAGTTTTGCCACCAAATTTTGTTGGCGTAGTATGGAAACCCTTGGACAACAGATGACATATTTGGCATTGCGATTTCCCCACTTTTTCCATGACTACTCAGAATAGATATATTAACACATTTTTTAAAAACCCTACATTGCACATATTTTGATCTCTGTTGCAATTCTTGTATCTTCCTCACCTCAAATATGGCAGGAAACTAAAATTTAGTGATATATCAGAGGAGACTCTGAGCCCTCTAGGTTGTCCCCTCTTGATCTATGTTATCAAAAGCTATTAAAAAGTCCAAGAAAATCAACTCCCAGTAGAAATAATTCATTGAGACCCCTGGGATGGATTGAATGCCAATTCATAGAGTCAAGCTTAGATTGAAATAGGGTTATATTAATCTTTGTCGGTCCCAAGTCCTTCTTTCCATATCCTAGTTGCTTGTGCTTCCTTTTCTCCTTCTGTCTCCTCTCTAGAGGCTTTGGTATTTTTCCACAGAAGTTGACTTCACATTAAGCCCAAAAAGCAGACCTCCAGGAGAGGGTTAGAGGGAGTCTTTAATTCCTCAACTCCTTGCCCACACGCAGATTACTCCCCCAAGCCCCAAAAACGCAGTGCTCTCTCCGCTGCTTTTGACAAGAAACAAAGATGTAGTGCTCTGGGAAGCCTGCCACATGGCGTCATGTGGACAGGAGCCACTGGATTTTTTTTTATTTTTTATTTTGGCCATATATACTCCTGTCCTAGAGATGAAATGTTGAGGAGGCAGGGTGTGCATGTGCAAGGATCTACTTTGCCTGTCATCGTTTGGAACCAGGATGTGGGGCTGTCTGTTTTTCTATCAGAGTGAAAGCTCTCCTCCTCCTGCTATCTTGCTTCCTCTGCAGGGCTAAAGTCCTGGAACAAGACAAATAATTTCAGCTATCTGGTGAACAGTTTGGAGCCAGGACTATTTCCTGTGTGTGCCGTTTGGAATTGTCTGTATCAGCACTGAAACCTCAATGGAATAAGACTCGGCCCACTTCCTCGGGTGGCGGGGAGTGGGGGAGGAGAGTGGGTTTGGCTCTATGTTTGTTCTGAATCACCACCTGGCAGAGGGACAGAGCTAGGGAGAAGTTGAATACTGGCCACTTTTGAAGACATGGGACCAAATCCATCATCCAGGCAAGGGAGAGACATGGCACAGATTTCAGCAAGGCAGGCCTCTGCTTTCACCAGGGTTAAATGCACTCTTACTTTCTTCATCATGATGTAACTTCAATGGCATCTCTTGGAATGCAAACTGTTTGGTCCCAGGAGATAAGTCAAAGCACTTCCTCCCAGAGAGCCCATAGTTCAACTTCTCGCTGTTAGCAAGATCCTACCTGGTTGAGTCTGGGGTTAGTGTCAGCCAACCTCTGCCTTCATCTTGGCCTGAAGTTTCTCTCCCTGCCCTCTCTGTACACTGACTCTGCATCCTGAATAAACTCACACAGGTCTTTGACTAAATTTCTTTCCAGGACAGACTTCAAAGCAAATAGCAAATCAAATACTCTACCCTACTATAGAGTAGAGAATTTTTGGGAAGGCTGTGCCATAGTTGGGATTCTAGAAGTATTTTGTAATCACTTTCACAGAATAGTTATTCATAACACAACTGCCAGAATTGATATGGGAAATCACAGATCCCCTGTTAAGTAGAGGATAGATTGTTGGGTTGTTCCTGACATTCCCTTAGCAGGATTTACAGCAGGGGTGTCCAACCTTGGCAACTTTAAGACTTGTGGACTTCAACTCCCAGAATTCCTCAGCCAGCTTTGCTGGCTGAGGAATTCTGGGAGTTGAAGTCCACAAGTCTTAAAGTTGCCAAGGTTGGACACCCCTGATTTACAGGGTATCTCTATCATCCAACTGGGCTGCAGACATTCACTACTTTGATTGTCTAAGAACATCCACAGTTCCCTCTTCCCATCAACAAAACGTAACTCATCCTTGTTCTATGACTAAAGCTAAATGTTGACTGCTTTCCCTTTCTCTGTACCTTAAGATGTGCTTCTGGCAATTGTTGCTATTGGCATGTATCATATATTTTTATGGAACAGTTTAGTCAAATTAAGGTACGGAGACATTTGGATTGTCATCTCATCATTTATTGCAGCTTGGTAGACAGAGGAATCCCAAAGGTCATCCATGGATTACTTTTTTCCAATTACGATATTTGAAAAGTTGTGAAAGGTATATGTTATATCCATTAATTGTTTGCTGTCTCTTATGTAGAGCATTGCAAGTTTCCACCAAATTCCTTTCCAATTTGTAACAAGGAACAGACAGAAACAGAACATACATTTCATGTTATTTCTCAAATAATATTTCAAGCAACTCTTCCTTGAGTTTTCATTTATCTCCTGAACAACTACATTCTTAGGTTGCTGCATGATTTGTTCAGACAGTTTCTATATGGATCAGGAAAAGAATTGAATAAGTAACTTTAAAGTGCCAACTTTATTGAACTAAAACTCCCATGGTCCCATTTAATATAACCATGTTGGCTAAGGATGCAGAAGATATATTTTTTAATCCTTCAAATGGTATTTGTTCAGGAAAATGTGCCTCAAAATAGGACTGCACAGGGAGATGTGAATGGGGCAGAATTTAGAGGTGGTGGCAAGCTTCAAGCAATATCTTCTGTTAAAGAGTTTGTTGACTGATTATTTTCAATAATTGGATCCTCTCCATACCTTCCAATCAGGGCAGCGGGGCCTTCTTTCAGCTAAGGCTGATGTAATCTAAGTCAGCATAGAAACAATAGAAGCAACTTTTGAGTCTGCAGTGGCTTTCACTGCAGAAAAATCAGTAAGTTGGCTGAACTGAGTAAATTATAGAAGCATCTTGTTCTACTGGTTACTTCTTTTTCAGAACAGAATGTGAAACATTGTAATTAAATGATGAGGGGTTTAGTTATATTTGTAATTAAACTCAAATACTGAATAATTCCATAATCCTTTTATGATTTTCCTAACCTGAATTCATATCAGTTAAGCAATGAACCCCTGAAACTTCTCTCACTGAGGAAAAATGAGGCAAACATCATTGTATGCCACAGTCTAGGTGCTGTAATACTTTTTTATTATAAACTCCTCTTTTGTTATTACACTACTACAGTGAAATTTCTGAAACTCAGAAATATTATTTTAAATTTCATTTGGCTTCAGGACATTTATTGTTTTTCATCTTCTGTGGCTCCATATTTCTACTACTTCGTGGCAAGAGAAAGCACAGATGTACAACATCTGTATCTTTGGTTTTTTTTTTACCTTTGTGAAGACCACTCAGAATCCTCCTTTCCTCTGATTTGCTTAATATCTGTTCCATAATGTATCATTTTCACAATGCCACATTATGAAGAAGCTTCTGTGTCACTTCTGTTAATCTATCTATCTATCTATCTATCTATCAATCATGGTATTATTATACCACTCCAAACTTGATTGCAGGAAGTACGATTTCAGCAACAGAGTGGTCAATGTCTGGAACTCACTACCTGATTCTGTTGTCACATGTTCAAACCCCCACTTTTTTACCCTCAAACTAACTTCTATCGACCTCACCCCATTCCTAAGAGGTCTGTAAGGGGCGTGCATAAGAGCACAATCATGCCTACCATCCCTGTCCTATTGTCCCCAATTATTAGTTCCTATTTCATGTATTTAAACATGTTTATTCTTATGTCTATTATATTGTAAGCATTTGACAAAATAAATAAATAATAAATAATAATATGTTGACTCTTATTCAAGTCCACATTTTTCAACTTAATGAATTTCTTGGAGGGGAAATAATGTGATGATGTAAATAAACAACTCTGTTGGTGTCTCTCACAAGAAAAGCCATTTTTTAAAGGGTAGCTGCCCACACTACATTGGCTGAGTTTCCGACTTAGAGCCTTGTTGCTGCTGACTATGCTGTCAGATCTGAGATCGCACCCAGTGCAAAGAAAGCCAAGGCTCTGCATAGAAAGGCACCAGCACCTTTTTAGTTTCCAACAACAACTTGGCCAAAAAACTATTATGACAATCAAGATATACATCACAATAAGGACCTGGGGGATAAGGAGATTTTTTAAAGGTTTGCAGAACTGGTGAAAAGTTTAAGTAGCCGAATGGCCAAATTTGCAAAATATTTTCTTTATAATTCCAACACTGCTCCTGAGTGCAGGTTCAACAGTCCTACTGATTGCTGATCACTGAATGATTTACTTCATTACATGCAAAGCAGAAACCAAATCTACCATGCCAGTTGTGGCTGAATATACATTATGAATTCTCTGTAGGGGAAACCTTCCCCGGCATCTGCAGTGATTGCTAGTCACATATGGAAAGTATACAGTATCTACTCTGTCCTTCAAAAATAATTTTGGCTTCAAAGCATCAGAACACTTTTTGCTCCCTCAGTCCTGAAGTACATTGCTCCCACCCACTCACATTCTTTGTTGCTCTCTTCCTACCCCAACCCCGACCTCCTACTTGAGCTTTGTAGATATCCTTGGTTCTTCTCACACTGGCTGGATTTGGGGATGATATTATTCCAAGGCACGGAAAGCTAGCTGAACTTGCTTATTATCAATGCTGAAAATTTTCTACCCATGGGAAAGGGGCTACACAACATAAAAACATGCTGTGTATGATAACTGTTGGGTTCAGAGAGGCTAGCTCCAGGCTTCCAAGAGACTACCGATGTTTGCTCAGTGGCCAGCCCTACTTTTCTTAGTAAAAACACACTTTCAAAAAAGGGTGCAGAGATTGCAGCCTGAATAGTTTAAGCTCTGACCCTCATCACTCCCTCCCTCTTCAGCCCTCTACACTCATCACCAACAGCTTGGAAGATATTCCTGCCATTCTCTTGTTGCTTTTTCTACCCCTCCCTCAAGGATACTTGGCCACGTCTTCTGTCTCACCTCCCACTCAGCTCTGCTATTAATTCAAGAGCCCATGAGGCCACCTAATGGCAGCCAAGGAAAAAGTACTTACGGCCAGAGACTCACAGTCTCTTTCTCTGACTCTTCCATTATTAGAAAACCCATCTGAGCACACTACCAGACCCAAAACCTGCAGTGTGTTTGGTAAAGATAGGTTTTAAAAAATCATTGTACAAGTCTGTTTGGCCCATAACTTTCATACATGAGTTAAATTTGTATGCAACTTCTAAAGTCAGATACACTTTATTCTCATATTCAAAGTGTTCTCTCCATATCCAACACATACACTTAAACATTTCTGGTTATGTTGGAAACACATCTACACATGTCTTTTGTATTTGCTGATATACACAGACATGGATATAAACACACATACACACACAAATATTTGCAGAGATCACTTGCGCATCTAATATATGTCCAGGCAATCAGTTTTGATGGTGCGTGCATACAAGTGTACCCTCATCCATTTGCATAAATATCAGGGCCTTGGCAGGCACTCACCACTCACTTATACACAATGCCGCAATGAACAGCTATTGCCAACTTCTTGGCCAGACAAGATTCTGCATCCTAAAAAAAAGGGAGGGACCTATTTATCAGGATAGATCTCTTGAGAGACCTGGCAGAGAAATGCTCTTTATTTTTGCAGCCAGGAATTTACAAGCAACTAAACAACTGCAGAGAACACAGACTACTGTTGCTTTGGATTCAGATCTAAGCTTACACAAGGACTCAGTCATTCTAAGCTAGGCAACAAGAACTCAGCTGTTGTGGGTCTTTTCCACACTCCAATCTTTAACTGCTTGCTGACTTTGCTTTCCTCTTCCCGTTCTCAAGAGGGGATGCTGTGTTTCCCCCCTCTCTTGAATAAACGTTCAGTAGACGTCGCCTCCCACCTCTCCCCACTTTTTAAATTGCTCTCCGGAATCCAGAAGGAACAAAGACTTACTGTGTTCGGGAAAGCCCTGGATCATGTCAAACTTATGGATCTCTTTGGCGTAGTACTCGGACTCCGAGTTGTCCTGAGAGCAGCTGTCCTCCTTCTCCTCTTCCATCTCCTCTAGTAGTTCCCGGGTGCTGTTATACAGAGCCAGGACTTGATAGGGCACGTGGCTTCGCCCCACACTCTCTGGAGGGCTGGTTAGGCGCAACTTGCTCAGGATTTGGCCCCGGATGGCCTCTATCCTCTTCTTCTTGATGTGCTCCAGGTCCAGCGTCGTGCAGGAGGAGAGCGACAGGCTGACCGTGGCCAAGCTCAGGAGCGAGAGAAGCAGCAAAGTCCCGCGCAAGTGCATCTTCAGGCGTGGCGCAAGGTGGGAAAAGGGCGGCGGGGTAACTCCGCAGGAAACCTGCGGGCGACCAAGCAGATCCTGCCGTTTGGCACTTGGCGAGAAAGGGCATGAAGGATCTCCCCGCCGGCCTCGGGAGCGGGTTGGACACCAAGCCTAGGAAGAGCCGACGGCCACCGTCGAGGCAGAGGAGGAAACGGATCGGCGTTCCGTCCCGCCGGGGTTGCTCTCCATGAGGGCGAGGGCGTCCGCGCAGGGGGCAAATCGAGCCGAGTTGCCGGCTTCACCGCCTCGCCCGGCCTCCCAATCCCGCTGCGCCGCTGGGCAGCTTCGGAGGAGGCAGGCGGCGGGGAGACTCCACGGGGAGCGCACGTGTCAGGGACCGAAAGCGCACTTGTGGCTGTCCATTCGTGCTGCTTCGTCGCTCGCCATGCCGGTGGGAACTGCGCCGAGCGGGGCTCCCCTCAAGAGACGCGCCTGAATGGCCTTTGCTGTTCTTCTCAAGAGCTCCTGAGCTTGGCTCGGGCGGGCAAAGCTGCTCGCGGTGCCCCCTGGCCGGCTTTCGGAGCTCTTCCGCCGTCTCCAGGCTGCCCGGTTTCTGGTAGAAGCCGTCTCTTGCCTTCCGCCGAGACCCAGCCGTTCCGCTCTCCTCGGCCCCCTTTCGCCGTCGCCTCCTCTGCCTTTCCTCGCCAGGCGCACTGCCTGCTTCTGTTTCTCTCGCTTGAAATTTTATACCTCCCTCTCATGACGTCTTTGAGACCGGGCCGGGCACAGGGGGAGCAACCGAGGGCTCTCTCTCTCCAAGCCCAGCCTTCGCGTCCAGCGCAATGCTTAGGGGGCGCTTTCGGGCTCTGGGAAGGCGGGGGCGCCTGGGAGCTTCGCCTTCCGAGCTTCGACGAAAGTTATCAGTAGGAGCTGAAAGGTTCGCCTCACGAATTGTATCGGCATGCTCACCGTCTTTCCCCCCCCCCCCCCCAGAAGAATGGCGGGCCCGAAAATCCAGGGGTGTGAAATAAAATAGGGAAAGTTTGACGGAAATTTTTCGAGGCGCCACGATGACAGCCGACGTCCTCGAAGCATCCCAGTCTGCGTGCTGGTATTTTGCCACGATCCCGTGATCACCAGTGGTGCCAACAAGTGGAATCTTTGTGTTGGCACACCTGTATGATCCTGCACTCGAATCGTTCCCCAGGACTCAACGCTTTTGACGAACTGGACTGATTCGATCCCGCAGCCATGCTCAAATATAAAGCTTGGTGAAATGATCTCTTCCAAGTAAACCTGGCAGATCGGTTGAATTGTAACGAAGAGCCTAATTTTTAACGATGGCTTGAACGTATTACGATGTTACAGCGCCGAAAAGTTCGGTCTCACGGTTGCTGTAACAGTGTCATGACAAGACGTTGACCCTGGAGACAGGGAGAAAAAGAAACAATTATGCTGTGTTTTGAAGAACTGGGTGTTCTCTCCCGTTTGTTTTGTTTTGTTTTGTTTTGTTTGTAAAGTATTAGGAATGTGAGGTTGTGAATTTATTTAGCAAGCGGTTTGGAATTACCGTGTGTTATGTTTTTAATTTCCAGAATTTGTAAAATCGTTTGTATTCCACCCCCGCCCCCAATCTGATTCTCTTTAAAATTAATAATAAAAAAGAACTATGCTGTATGTCGTGACCCCGCCCCACTTCATTAATTTTATTTATTACATAAATCGCTGCAGAATAGCAATAAAGGACAGCCGAGGAAGCGAATAACGCCCTCTGGTGGACAGTGCTCTCCTCACTTTTAGGAGAAGCTCCTCTTGGAATGGTTTTCAAGGAAGCTTGTTCCTGAAAGGGAAAACGAGAATAGATTGAATATTTTGGCATTACTATATATCACCCTCCCTTCCCAGTTATTTCCAGCTGCTAAACAGTATCTTGAATCTTAAAGCTAAAGTGTACCCAATGCGATTTTTCTATTTTTTAAACCATTTCTCTTCCTGTGACAACCTATTTCCAGTTTTATTTTAGTGGTTCTTAGAATGAAAACATGCCTGTTGGAAATATGCCCTTCCTTACACCTATAGGTAATATTTTAATTGATTTATTGTTAAATATGTACTTTACTTTTACCGAATAATATTCAAAATATAAAATATAGCAACTAAAGTACAATAAAGCAATGGCATGAGTTCTCCAAATGTATCGAGGAAGAAAACAATGCACATAGAAAGCAACAATTTAAATATTTAGAAAATAAGGAAGTAATCCTTTCTCATAAAGATTGAGTCATTAGTGCCCAATGAATCCAATTAACATTACATATTCCAATGTAATAAAACCATCTATTACAGAACAATTACTACCAACCTGCCTTCAATCGAGGACCTGTATACTGCACGAGTCAAAAACAGGGCTGTGACATATTTATAGACCCCTCACATCCCGGACATAAACTGTTTCATCTCCTTCCCTCAAAACAATGCTAGAGAACACTGCACACCAGAACAACTAGACACAAGGACAGTTTTCCCCCGAAAGCCATCACTCTGCTAAACAAATAATTCCCTCAACATTGTTCAACTATTACAAAGTCTGCACTACTATTACTGTTAACCTTTCTCATCACTCCGTATCACCCATCTCCTCCCACTTGTGACTGCATGACTGTAACTTTGACGCTTGTATCCTTACAGTTTATATTGACTGTTTCCTAGTATGATTTGATTGCTTATTGTACTCTATGACTATCATTAAGTGTTGTGCCTTATGATTCTTGATGGATGTATCTTTTATTTTATGTATACTGAGAGTATTTGCACAAAGATAAATTCCTTTTGTGTCCAATCACACTTGGCCAATAAAGAATTCTATTCTATTCTATTCTATTCTATTCTATTCTATTCTATTCTATTCTATTCTATTCTATTCTATTCTA